AGAGTGTTTGGCAATTTAATTCTTTGTACAATCAACATTTTACGCCTCTCATTTCAAATGCCTTCAATTCAAAAGAGGTTTTGAGCTATAATTCAAAACAGTTTAGTGACTTGGCAATTTTAACATAATCAATAATATGAATAAGTACTGAACAACTAAGAATATGGTAAATAGATTAATTTTTTAGCATTAAATTTTTATAGACTCATTTTTAGCTAATAAATTATTTTTTTAGCACCCTCAAAAGAAGCCTTAGACTAATAAGCCAGCGTGCCTAGTGTGCGCCAATCTCACTTTATTAGGCTCTTCACTCATTGCTCTCGTGAGTACTTCAAAAATATACTTGTTCCCTAATTTTTCATAATTAAATATAATAAAATGAAAAGATTATGATTATCAGATCAATTCAATTTTTTTTCCATGTATTATACATACGAAGGGCCTTATAAAATAAACGGTTCAGATTATTGAAATAGGACTCATGATGATGGGTTCCTCAAATCCCTCAAATTATCCTAAGTTGAGATTTGAACTTGAGAAATAGCCCAATCCATAATAATATGGGTTCCTCAAATCCCTCAAATTATCCTAAGTTGAGATTTGAACTTGAGAAATAGCCCAATCCATAATAATATTATGTGAACACATGTGATAGTATATTATAAGAGTAAATTACACTCACTTCTCTTGAAATTAAAAAAAAAAAATACTATATTTCACACTTGTAACATTATTACATTAATCTCACTTCTCGTATGGTAAAAAGAGATGATAATATTATTTTTTCATTCATACAACTAACAAATTATTGATAAAAAATAACTTAAGTATTATATGAATTAAAATATGGGCAAAACACCAATAAATCCCAAATTTTAATGTGTTAAACCATTTGGTCCTGGCTTTTATTTTGTAGACTAATAAATCATATTTGAATGTTGAAAGCTCACTATAGGCCTTTTTTAGATTTCCCTCATTTCCGAACATCAACAACATTAACTACACCAATAACATCATCAAACATCAACTACATCATCAAACATCATCAACATCACCAACATCATAAAACATCATCAAGATTGATCAAACATCAACTACATCATCAAACATCAACTACATCATAAAACATCACCAACATCACCAACATCATAAAACTTCATCAACAACACCAACATCATAAAACATCATCAACGTCATCAAACATCAACTACAACATTACCAACATCACCAACATTGTGAACATCATCAAACATCAACTACATCTTCAACCTCATCAAACATCATTAACATCACCAACATCATAAAACATCATCAAACATCATCATCACCAACATTGTGAACATCATCAAACATCGACTACATTTTCAAGCTCATCAAACATCATCATACACCAATATGGAATACAATATATTGATGTTTATACAATATAACAAATAAAGATACCATACCAAATATAAAATATAACAAACAAAGATACCATACCAAATATAAAAAGGATTAAATGGTTTACAAAAAAACACTCAGGACTAGATAGAGCAACATTTCCCAATATGGAATTTATGAGTAATTTTTCCTTAAAATATTAAGAGAAATTAATATAATTATGTTAAAAATGTAAATCTAATTATATTTTTTGAAAAACAGTGAAGTGAGTGTAATTTACTCAAATTATAAGGGTAGCATTATTGAGAGGAAAGCATCAATGTCTTGAATCTTGATTAGCAGGCCAAGAAAGAGTCAAGAACACATGCATTGGAAAAGAGGTAAAGTTTCATGATCAATAACCTTGTAATATGAAAAATGTTATGAACTAAGACTTATCTATATATAATTTGTTAAGAATGTGTTTGTATAGTGAAAATTAAATTTATAAAGTGTGGATTCTATAAATAAAATAAATTTTAACCATTGATTCATTTTTTTGAATAAATTATAAATTCATAAGTTTGAATTTATAGTCTTATTGTTGTAATATTTTATTTCACAATTTATAGATGAATTTAAATTTAAAAAAGACCTTGTTACACCAGTGCCCGAAGTCGTTCAAATGTCCATTAGTTTTGATTTTTGGGGCATAGTTTGGATGAATTTTCCATTTGACAAAAGTCTCGAGATAAGTAAATTAATGACACCCCTGGAAAATGATAGATCGCTACTTTCATGGGAAAAAAAATAAAAGAATGTATATATATATATATATATATATGTAATTTAGAATGAATTATAAATACATCTCTTAAGATTTGCTTAAAATATGAATTATTCTTCATAGTTTAGAAAATTACAAATAACCCATTGTCAAATTTTTTATTTAACAAAATTAATTGAAAAAATAAAATTCTTAACTACTCTCCTATATAATAATATAATTACATGAATTATTAATTGAGATAAATTTCTAACATCATTAAAAACTGTTAATTAACTTGATAATTTATTAATAAAAAGAGTTATTTGTTATGAAATTAGAAATTTTAAGAAACGAGATATAATTTTTAAAATCATAAAAGATAAATAATATTTTAAGTAAATATCAAAAAATGTATTTATAATTTATCCTAAATTTTACAAGTAAATTTATTTTAATCAATTTACCTTTTAGCCGTATAATTTGACCTTTTGCTACTATATAATTTGCGACCATCTGATTAGCCGTCGCAAATAATCAATTTACCCCTTTATTTTCTTCTATTTATTTTCCCCTTTTCTTTATACTTGCCCTAGCCCCTCCACAGACACCGATTGTTCTCTTTCTCTCGCTCTCTCTCTCTATCGGTCTCACAGTAATACGACTGGTATGAATCTCTCTCTCTCTCTCTCCCTCTCTGTCTCCCCCTCAATCTCGCTTTCTCTCTTTCTCTCAATCTCGTGCTCTCTCTCCTTTGATCTTCTCAAATTAGCACCTCTACTACACATGTATATGTACCTCTATATATTATGTATGTGTTGTGAATATCAATGTTTGAAATTGAATTTATTCTGTTGAGGTCCGAGCAAGAATCGAAGTAGACGTCCTCAAGATCTTGAACTCTTCGACTCCGACAATCTCATATTTCTTTGGTTTGCAATTTTGCTTCAAATCTCTACTCTCGAAATGTGTATATATATATATATATATATATGTGCGTGTGTGTTTTTGTGTTAAGCATTGAGTCACTGTTGATTTTAATTTGACAAATTTGGGGATTTTTGAGTGTGTTATCTGCTCTTCGGTACTCTCTCTCTCTATATATATATATCCATGGAATGTATAACTATATACATACATACATTCCATTTCTATGTCCATCAAACGAATCAGATTACTCTGAGACGACGAGTACAGTATTATCTACTGTACAATCGGTATCGAGCAAGCTTTTTTTAACTGCGAGAAATCTCTCTTTGTATGCTTGACTAAGCAATCTCGATGATTGTGAATTTTTTGAATCACGTGATTAACATGAGTTTTGTGATTTTACTTATTATCGTCCATTCTTCCACGATTCAATCATCATGTTTTGTAAATTCTTCGACTACAATGTGAATTGTCTTTGTGATTGAACTCTCAAGTCTTGACTTAATTGTGCATTGAAGAAAATTGGTCTGGTAATTTGAGTTACTTGTCAAAAATAAAAAATAGTAAATAGGATGGAATCAAGAATTCTCTGAATTAGGTAATTTGAAAGGCTATTTTTTGTTTGTTTGTTTTTTTTCCCCCCTCCCTTTGATGATTTTAAAATGTTACATGGCTTGGAGGCACTTAGATTGTACTTAGACTGTGTATGAAATAGAGCTTCTTCTCATTATAAGTGACTTCAATCGGGATAAAATTTATGTGACAATAGTTTTATATATATGCATCTATCTTTTTTCTTCATGTTTTCTAATGGATGGTTGTTAAGATTACTAATAAAAGTTTATGCAAACAATTTGAATTTTGGCTTGATGAATTTGATTGGCTGTACTTTGGCACTTCTTCACTTCATCTACTCCTTAAGATGTAGGTCCTTTATGATTGCTGGTAGTTCTAAATTTTGATTTTCAGCTAACCGAGCTCCGACTATTCGATATGTTTCTTGCTGGAAGTACCCTGATCTCATTGATAATGAGTGGGCCAAATAATTCAATCGGGTAGGTAGCTGAACCATACCACATAGTTCTAAAAGAATGAAAGTTGCAAGAAAGGCAGCAGCAATATACTAGAAAGAACTTTTTCGATATTGCCCCTATGCAATCCATTGTATAGATGTTGGGACGTGTGGACACTAAGATAGAATAGACCTGCTAATAAAGATGATGAGAGGTTATTCCTCTCATGAGGTTATTCCTCATCCAGTCCTATGATTTGTTGATGTTCCTAGATACAAGTTTTGCACAACTCCTCCAACATCTCTCAGACCCCCAACCCCAAAAAATAAATGAAGTAAGCTGCATGATCTCAAAATTCATTTCACCATTTTCAAATTCATACAAAGAAAAATCGCAGTTATGCCTCATACTCTCTAAGTAAATGAACAAGTTCTCACTTTATGGCATTAGACTCCATGATTATTAGTAAATGGTTAGAAGTTGCTCACAAGAAAGTTATGCTAAATAATAGTAGAAATGTAAAAGAAAAAAGAGAAATGTGCAGTTGACAACTTAGGACTGATTGATGCTGTATTAATTCGTGAAAGAAGATTTGCTTTATTAGTCAGTTAGAGTGAAAAAGGAGGAACAAAATGTGTAATTGATGCTTTATGAATTTAGTAATTAATGAGGATTTTGAAATAATAAATTATGTTTGGTTGCCCAGAGGGTTGAAAACTTAACATAAGTTTGCTTTTGGAATCACATTATTCTTGTCCCAGGACATAATAATGATAATAATAATGATGATGTGGAAGGTAGTGTATTTTTGCTTTTACCTAGATGAGTTGGGGATTGTACCCTACTGAATTCTATTTTACCTTTATAGTATCTATTTTTGATTACATGTTCCTGTTTTCTTTTTTCTTCTATTTTTCCCCCTCCTTTTCTTATTTGGTTCTAAATTGTCTGGTGGTGAATAATTTGGTCTTTGAACATCATTACAGCGACCATTCAGTGAACGGTGGATTATACTTGAAAATGAAGTGATCTGTGGAAGATGAAGATTTATTTCATTACTTTCTGCACTCAATGATTACATTACAGTAGAGATGATATTTATAACTAACACACACGAACTAACTAATTCACTAACAAACACTTCTAACTAATTAACAAACTTTACAACTGTTACAGATATTATAATGAGGACTGCTATCAATACAGGACTGTGATAGACAACATATCAATGCTGATTCTGATGCAGTAGGGAGCTGCCGTGACTGATGAGTAAACTATTGAGATGCAGTTGAGCTACTGCAGTGACTGATGAGGCTTGGACTGAGTGAACTGATGAAGCTTGGACTGAGGGAACTGTGGAAATGCAGAGTCAGTTACAGAGGCAGTTACAGATGGAATCTTATCATGATCAAACCTCGAAACAGTGAGCGTGACTTTTTGTACAAGAGCAGAAATCCATACTACAGATACGACTTGGAGTCATTCAGGGTATGAAAGGGGGAACAAGAGATCATTAACTGCCCTCAATTCTATTTTCAATCATTGCATTCTTTTCTTTTATTGATTATTTATTTTGCTTTGTCAGGTGAGGAGGAAGGATTTTTATTTGCTGTCTACAGTTACTAAGCTTTTAAAGGAATTTATTCCAAGACTTTCACATGCAGCAGATGGTCTTATATTCCAGGTTCTTAAGGATTATTTTTTGGTAGCTTTATTAGAAAAATAAATCTGGAACTTTAAATATAATATGATACTGTTCAAACAATGTGATTTTTGCATTCTTTTACTTTTGAAATATCAGTTACGAACACGGGAATGTTCAGTGCATAGGAAATGTGTGTCAAGAAAAGTGATTTTGCACTATTTTATTTTGGAAATATTAATTACTATGCACAAGAACATATTCAGGTGATATTATGTGTTTGAAAATAGAAAAATGCTCCATACCCATCCCCCCCCCAACCCAAAACCCAAAATGATGTGGCGAACAATAAAATGTTTTACTTTGGAAATTCCCAACCCAAAACCCAAAATAGTGGCCATGTTTACTGAAAATTTGATTCCAAAAGTGATAGCAATAGGCACTATTGTTAGTCTATACAATATTTTAGTGCAGCTGCCTTTATCCCCATCAATGGTAACACAGACTTCTTGCCTAACATGAAATCAAAGCCTTTTGAATTTGTTGCTTTTTAAACTTGGTTGCATCTATAAGTCTTTGTTTAATTGCCACTTGCAGATTGAGTTCAGCTGTGGTGATTCATGACCATCATTTACTATACTAACACTTGTTCCACATTTGGACTTCATAGATTTTACAGCTTAGCTATTATCAAATTTAACATTAAATTTTTTCGATCCATCTAAGTAGCAAAATTCAAATTCCCTTATTGATCAATTACTAGAAGCCGGTCAAATTCAAGAATGATTGTCTTGTGAGGGGAGACAGGGCCCACATTTTGAGCATTTATCTTGCCCCTAAAATTGGGCGGAAACAGAGGGGAAATGAAGTGCTTGTTGGTAATATTTTTTTTAATCCCTACTTCTCAATTATACCTTTAAAAAAGGTTTTAATACTTTGTTACAATAATGACCACATGTAGTTGCATCAATAGTCTTGCAACAGAAAATGTCATTGAATTGGAAGTTCGATGAAAAGTGGCACCAATTGAAGATAAGATGATGAACAATTGTTTGAGATGGTTTGGTCACGTGCATCATAGACTAATTAACACAACTGTAAGGATGATTGATTTGATCCTACTTTGGTCACAAGCATCATAGACTAGATAACGCGCATGTAAGGAGAAGTGATTTGATCCACATGACTAGTTAACATGCATGCTATACCAATTGAAAAGGCTATTCTACTTGTATAATGTAGTTTTACTCCCATATATTATTAAATTGCAAGTATCTGTTGATTACATGTTGATGTGGAGTTCTACTCCATGCTAGAACATAGGCATGTGGTCTGAAGAACTTGAGTTGATGTGATAAGAAAGGACATGAATATCTTAAATTTAAGTAATGATATGACCTAAAAAGAACCAAATTGGAGTAAATAGATCCATGTAACCGATCTCAAGTAATTGGGACGAAAGCTAGTTGAGTTGAGTAAAGGATTTAGACAAACCATTTGAAGAAGTACAACCTTATGTCCTTCTTTAGATTCAGTTTCCAAAATATTTCATGTTCATGTGTTCGTTATGGTTTTTGTTGCTCAAAAATATTGTATTTGTTTTCCCATTACTTCAATTTTTTTTTTTTCTCTATTGATACATTAATGTAATGTATGATTATAATCATTACAGAAAATGCCATGGCTGAGTTAGGGAGGCTGCTTATGTATGAAGCATCAACAGATTGGCTGGTGAGCTAATATTCGATGCCTGTTATTTATTTTCAAACAATATTCATGCTATGGATACTTTAAAAAATAGTATATTATGTGGGTCTAATACAGAACTTAGAAAATTGGACAATCATTGATTTATAGGGGATAATAACATTATGTGAACAACTCTTTCTTTGAAGTCAATTGCAACCTGTTTATCAGTTGTAACAAGGCCCATAATAGAATTGTTGGACTATGAGTAATTTTGGGAGTCTGACACATTTGGAGTCTGTTTGTTATAGGAGGTGGTTAAAAAAGAGTTGCGTTGGAAGCTTTTTCGGTTTCTTACCTTTTTTCTTTAGGAATTATTTAATCTTGGAAGAGTATAGCTTTTCGGTTGTCATCATCTGATGCACTATTTATTTAGCTTTGCAGACTGTTCCTATCTTGAGAGCTGGTCTTGCTCGAACAGAACATGCATCATCAACTGATATGGTAAACTGGGATCACTGGTGGAAGACATTGTTGTGGAGTATGTAACTGATATGGTAATCTGGGATTACTTGTGTCTACTTCATGAGTTGCTGGCAATTCATAGTAAAGGATTTCAAACTCCGTATCTCCTCCTCTTTCCCCACTAATGCTTGGTTGGTAGCAGAGTTAAGCATAGTCCTTCTCTAATTATATTGGTGTTCCAAATTATTCTCTCATGTGATATGGAGTTTTCAAGATGGTATTAATGCAAAACCCTCTTTTTGTTCCCTTTGGGTGTCATGTAGGCATTGCCTAGAGTACACTTTTGAGAGGGTTCATTTACCACTGTTTGTTAACCCCTTTGACTACCTCATATCAAATTTCTTTCTCACACAATGAGATGAGTTTCTGTCATGTCTTGATAATGGAATGGCTTTCCAATTCAATCTTTTACTGTTTTGTTTATGCACGGTAGAAAGTTGCATTATGTAGGCCTTTGTTACATGCTATTTTTGTGATTTTGTTGATTGTTCATCACTTGCAAGTGTTGGTATTTGGTTCATTCACCGAAGATGAAATCAAGTCCTTCCAAAGGCAGCCACCAGAGATTGATATAGAAATTAAGTTTGGTTCTTTGGATGCTGAAATTTTAAGATCCTTGGGCATTTTCAACAGTAAACTGACAGAATATGACTTTTCTACAGGTGCATAAAGCTCAAGATATTGCATCAAAAAGGGGAAAGCTTCTAATTGATGACTCTTGTTACAAATAACTAATCTGCTACAGAGAGAGGTCACTATGACATAGTTTTATTTTGATTATTTCAAGCTAAACTAACACATTGAAGTGCATTAAATTTTCAAGTCAAGTTTGATATATGTTTTTGCAGATTGATATAGAAATTAAGTTTGGTTCTTTGGATGTTGAAACTTTAAGATCTTTGGGCATTTTCAACAGTAAACTGACAGAATATGACTTTTCTACAGGTGCATAAAGCTCAAGATACTACATCAAAAAGGGGAAAGCTTCTAATTGATGACTCTACGTTCTTAATAGGGAAGGTACCTTTCTTCCTTGCTCTCTCTCTCTTTTTTTACTCTTGTTTTTTTCACATGTAAACCAGTGAAGCTTAGTATATCAGAGATCAAAATTGCCGGATTAAGTGATCCCATAATTAAGCCTGAAGTTGCTCTCAAGGTAATTGAAACTCTTGTTACAAATAACTAATCTGCTACAGAGAGAGGTCACTATGACATAGTTTTATTTTGATTATTTCAAGCTAAACTAACACATTGAAGTGCATTAAATTTTCAAGTCAAGTTTGATATATGTTTTTGCAGATTTTGTTGAGGGAATAGTTGATATGATCGAGCGGTTGATGTTGGGAGCCAAAGATTATGTTGCTTTTTTTTTTTTTTTTTTGAAGCATGCAGTTAATTTGAGCCAAAAAGGAGAAGAACAACAAAAAAGATGGTTAATGGATAATGTCTATTATAAATTTAATTAATTTGTTAATTTTGTTATTTTTCATTTACAAAAATATTGTTTGGTGCTTATAATTGATTTTTTTTTTTGTTGTAGCAAACTCATATATGTTTTTTTTTTAATAAATAATTATTTGCGACAGTAAAACAATGGTCGCTAAAAGTGTTTTTTTATTTTTTTATTTTTTTTGCGACGGCAAAATAGCTGTCGCAGAAAGTAGTTTAGGCGGTCGCAAATAATTTGCGACCGTTGTTTTGCCGTCGCAAAAAGTATTTGCCACCCCCACATTTGCGTCCCCTATTTGCGGTCGCATAGGCAGTCGCAAAAAGTCTTTTGCGACTGTATTTTTATTATTTGCGACGGCATGTGGCGGTCGCAAAAAGTGTTTTTTTTAGTAGTGATATGATCTAAAAGCTAGTAATCCACTTGATTTATAGATCAGATCCTTATCATTATAATCATGTTAATGACAATCTATTGGGCTGTCAATATTAATAAAATCTTATATAATCAACCATACTACAAATTCACCCTTATCAATTTAAAATTTATACAAAACAAAAAATTAGTGGCTCAGATTTAATTCATATATAGACCACACATTTTATCAATTCAATTTTCACCACACAAATGTAATGAGTAAATTCTGAGGCCGTAAGAATGGGTTCTAACATTTTTCTTTATATAATATTATCTTATTGGGTTTTGATAATTTTCGGATATAGAACTGAACCAATATATTGACAAAATTGAACAAGCCCATGAAAAGAACTATGACCGAGAAATAAAATTCTTGTATATTCCACAAATTTGTTGAATATAGTACGGATAACCCATAAAAATTCATTACTAAATCCGTTCATATAATACTTTTCACACCCATTGTATACATCATGGCCCTGTTTGGTAGAGCTTATTTCCAGCTTATTTCAGCTTTTAGCTTAAGCTATTTTGATGTGTTTGGTTCAGCTTAACAATACAGCTTATAACTTTTTGTAAGTCAAAAATCAACTTATTCTTTGAGTGGGGAGGAGAAACTTATGTTCACAGTTATAAGCTATAAGCTGTTAAGTTATAAGCTATAATCACTTTCCCACAGGTCTACCAAACGGGGCCTATATTCAGTATCCCCTTCAACGTCGTGGGTGTGACATGACTATGGCTGCAAACAGACAAGCTAATATAAAAATATAAATTTTTTATTAATTTTTTTTTGGGACGAACCGATTGCTGTTGAGTACATCGATGAGGTCTGGAATGACAGAGCTCCATTGTTGCCCTCTGATCCTTACCAGAAAGCTCAAGCTAGGTTCTGGGCACTATTTGGGCCAGTGGTGTTTACATGGGTCTCGTTTCGATAATGTAAACGATTGATTTTATCAGACATTTTGTGTATTTCATTTACACATGAAAAAAATTA